TGGGTAGAGCATTTTGGATTGAGAGTTTGGAAAGGGTTTAAAGGATGATGATTTCATGTGGTTGTTGGATTATAGCTATGTTGTTGTTTGCATCTAATTACTTTGTGTTGAGATGTGTTGCAACTGTTGTAGTTGGTAGGTTTGGTTGAGCAGGACCGGCCTTTTGCCCCCTACTTCCCCTATGATTGTTGGATGGTTGGTGCTTATATCCACAATATTAATTTTCCCTCCATTCTTCTTATGTCATTTGCATTTTCACCAGGACCATTGATCACGAATGTATAACTTCAGCCCTGTACCAAAATATCATCTCCGACCGCTTTCTTTCTGGAGGGTTTTTCCTCACTTTCATCTTTGGTTTGAGTTGACCATTGGCAGAGAGAGACCAATTTTCTTCACTCTCCTACCATACCTTTCTTAATAATATTCTAGCATTGGAATTCACTAGTCTCTTTCGAGCTATTCGATCTTCTCAGCTGTAACATTACGCCAGTTACCAGTGTGCTGGATGTGGTGTGTCGTGGTGAGTTCATGAGTGCGATGTTTAGTTAGGGATGTGAACAACAACCATTCAATTCTAGTTGTTGGTCTCCTAGTTCTTTCTGTGGCATGAAATCAGTTGGTACCCATTTGCTAACCTGCTACGCTAGGGCCATGCTCAGCAGCAGAAATCTATTCCATTCATATGGGGTACTTTTTATGGTACGGATGATTATAACTGCAAAGCATTTTGGTTTATTGCCGGTGGTAGCTTGAAGGACATTCGTGAGGCCATTTTATGAGGAAATGTACATATACTCACTCTTCTGTCTAGGCTCTCTACATGATGGAGCAAAAATTTACTTTTTGTAAATTTAGGAGAAAAATTGACAAACTAATTAATTACTTCGAATCAAATGGTATCCTTTTGTAATTTTCATTTATCTCAATCAAGCACACATCTGATCACGTTAAATCCTAAGTAAACACATCTACAGAACAATCAATCAATCAAGGGTCAGCTGTAGCCATCCCTAAAGACTCCATGGTGGACCTGGCCATGACGGTGGAGAATTCGGTAAAGCTGATAACTCCATCGCCGTCGGTATCGGCTTCCTTCATCATCTGTGTTAGCTCCTTGTACGTCAAGGGCTGCCCCATTCGGTAAAGCTGATAACGCCATTGCCGTCGCGGTCGAACAATCGGAAGACCTCGAGTATGTGGTCCTGGTTCCCCAGCGTCTCCTCATCGATATTGTTGGAGATTGCGGAGACTAATTCATCGAATTCGATGGAGCCGTTGCCGTTGGCGTCGATGTCGGCAAGGAGGACGTGGATCTGGTCGCCGGAGGCCGGCTTGAGGCCGATGGAGCGAAGCAGGGCGGCAAGCTCTAAGACAGTGAGACTGCCGTCTGAGTCCATGTCGAACCGGTCGAATATGTCATGGAGTTGGCTCAGTCGGAATGTCGTCGTTGTTGTCCCGGCGGCCATGTAAATCCTCTGTTTCGGTTAGCGTTGTGTTGGCAGAACGACGATGGCGATGTCGTTCTGTCTCCTCCGACGTATTGATCGATTGATGATCGAAATTAATTTAATTAAACACAGAGGAGGAGAAGGAAGAATAATTTATCTGTAAATATATGTTTCTCTAGAGTAAGAGAGATTTGTGATTACAGTGGCCAGAGCGGTGGTGTTGGTGGCGGAGACACGGTGGGGGGAATTTGGAATGCGGTGAAGGTGGCGGTGGGCGGGAAAATATAGGGTGAAGGGAAAGTGCCGGTTGTTTTCTCTTTTGTGTTCGGTAAGACATTTTTTGGGTTTTTTGTTTTTTTGTATTATCAAAATTGTTGGTGTGGGTTTTATGTTTTTTGAGTTTTATTTGTTTTTTCTTACCATAACAAAATTTTAGGTAAATAATTACCCATTTGGATGGTTAGTTGACAAAAGGATTGTTGGGTTGGAAAGCTTGTTTTGCATTCATGTGTTACAATATTGATGACATTAACGAAAAATTAGCAGGAAACGATGATGAAGAATGGGAGCTAGATGAAGGGATGGAAAATATTGTCAAACAGATGAAACATAAGAGTACATTTATTATTCTAACTAGATTTGGGTCCGACCCGTTGGTCGGATACTTTTCATTAATGCAGAACAACAGTAACAATATTTAATGAATTGGAATTTATTTGGTATAGGAAAGGAGTCCAAATTATCTAACTATTGGAAAGTCAAAAACTCATATTGAAAATATAATTTTTATTTAGTAGAGTTAATCTTATCCAAGTCATGAACATTATCTTTCTCTATATCATTGAAATTTATATATTCAACATCAATAGTCTCTTCCTTTTTTCTCAAATTATTATTATCTTCGTTACCAAATACACTTAAAGCTAAGAACAAATGAAATATTTGCAATTGTCTGCATAACTCGAACCTGGAAGCTTAACTTATAAACTGACAGCAATGATGTAAAATATTTTGTCGAAAACTATATGGTTTGTGGGTACAAAGCTCTTTTCTCTAATGTTTGTGAATCTCTCACACGAGCCCTGGACACCCTGATCCAGGCTCATCAGCAGATTGGCACTCTGCTCGAGGTCGGCAGTGAAATTCCCAACGAACAAGTAAATGCTTTTGTTGGAGCGAAGGCTGTTGTGCATGGGTGTATGGTCACAATGAAAGACAACCTTATTAATGCCATAAAAAGCAGCACACTGGTTCCCCCGAGTCCTTGGATATTCTGAATGAGATGATTGAAATGCTCAGTTCCGAAAACTAGGAGATGGTCCAATGCGGCGATGATGATGATGATGATGGCAGGGATGATGATGGTTATCCTCCGATCCTAAGGAACATATCACAGGAAGAACAAGGAGTGGAGCAAGGTCGTTGCTGATGGTGTCTATGCTAAGGTAAGTTTGGTAGAGCATTTTGGATCGAGAGTTTGGATAGGGTTTAAAGGATGATGCTTTCCTGTGGTTGTTGGATTATAGCTATGCTACATCTTATTACTTTGGGTTGAGATGTGTGGCAACTGTTGTAGTTGGTAGGTTTGATTGAGCAGGACATGCCTTGTGCCCCCTCCTTCCCCTATGGCCGTTGGATGGTTGGTGCTTATATCCACAATATTAATTTTCCCTCCATTCTTCATATTTCATTTGCATTTTCACCAAGACCATTGATCACGAATGTATAACTTCAGTCCTGTACCAAAATGTCATCTCCGACCGCTTTCTTTCTGGAGGGTTTTTCCACCCTTTCATCTTTGGTTTGAGTTGACCATTGGCAGAGAGAGACCAATTTTCTTCACTCTCCTACCACACCTTTTTTAAAAATATTCTAGCAGTGGAATTCACTACTCTCCCTCGAGCTATTCGATCTTCTCAGCTATGACATTACACCAGTTGCCAGTGTGCTAGATGTGGTGTGTTGTGGTGAGTTCATGAGCTCGATGATTAGTTCGGGATGGCAACAACAACCATTCAATTCTAGTTGTTGGTCTCCTGCTCTTTTTGTGGCCTGAAATCAGATGGTTCCCATTTGCTAACCTGCTACGCTAGGGCCCATGCTCAGCAGCAGAAATGTATTCAATTCATATGGGGTTCTTTTTATGGTACGGATGATTGCAACTGCAAAGCATTTTGCTTTCTTGCCGGTGGTAGCTCCCACCCAAACCACCAAGTTCATGTGAGGAGGCTTCTAGTGAAACTGAGGATTGCCAACAAGAAGCAGTTGTTGTTGTTTCTAGTTCAGGTTGCGGAGCTATAGTTATTGTGGAACATTTTGATTTTGCCTCTACCAAATGCAAGGCAGCTGGGTTTGTTCGGACTTCAAGGGGCAGAAGAAACGAGTTATAAAGTACCATTCATTTTACCACTTCTTACTTCATATTATTCATTGCAACTTTGCATGTAGCTTACTTTGACCAGGAATGAAGCAAATCATAATCAGCTCAGAGACAACAGAACATAAATCTCCGGAGAAAATGATAGAGAAAGTGGTTGTTGCTTTGGTATCAATTGTGTAAAAGGATGTGATTGACTCTGCATATTACAGTTTTATTTAATTAAAAACAGGAAAAATGATACTGGCAATTGGAGATAGAGAAATCGATGTTGGAATGCTGCAAGAAGCAGATATTGGTGTTGGTATCAGTGGATATGAGGCAAAGCAAGTGAATGCTTAAGTAGAGGTCTTCAAGTACGTTCTGTTCCACTTGATTTTGGTTTCTCATGATTTCTTCCTCTATTTGGAAACCTCAAAATTCAGGCAGTCATGTCAAGTGATGTTGCAATAGCACAATCCCGATTCTTGGAAGGTTGCTCCTTGTTCATGTTCATTGGTGTTACAAAAGGATCTCATCAATGGTAAATTTAATTTCACAATTATGGCACGTACATTCTTCAAAAATTTACCTTTTTATCTTTGTACTATGGTAAAGTATCTTGGGAAATTCCTTTGCCATTCATGACGTATGAACTACATGCCTGATCATGTCAGATTAATGAAACTACTTTCTATGGAAATTTGGCAGACATGCTACTTCATCTACAAGAATATTTGCATTTGGCTTCACTCTGTTCTTCTATGAAGCATATGCATCATTCTCAGGTGAACCGCCTTCTAGTAACATTTGCTTCTGTTTCTCTGCAATCCATAGGCACTTCTTCCCAGTGTATCACCTTGCTCGTGTGCGATGGACAATGAGTCGACGTGGACCCAATTGGCGACACGAATATCGTTATCCCGCACCACCAGTTTGAGTCAAAATCAGGCAGCTTGAAGGACATTCGTGAGGCCATTTTATGAGGAAGTGTACATATACTAACTCTTCTGTCTAGGCTCTCGACATGATGGAGCAAAAAGTTAGTTTTTGTAAATTTAGGAGAAAAATTGACAAACTACTTAATTACTTCGAATCAAATGGTATCCTTTTGTAATTTTCATTTATCTCAATCAAGCACACATCTAATCACATTAAATCCTAAGTTACACATCTACAGAACAATCAATCAATCAAGGATCAGCTGTAGCCATCCCTAAAGACTCCATGGTGGACCTGGCCATGACGGTGGAGAATTCGGTAAAGCTGATAACTCCATCGCCGTCGGTATCGGCTTCCTTCATCATCTGTGTGAGCTCCTTGTACGTCAAGGGCTGCCCCATTTTGGCCATGGCGCCGGCGAGCTCGGCCGACGTGATGACGCCATTGCCGTCGCGGTCGAACAATCGGAAGACCTCGAGTATGTGGTCCTGGTTCCCCAGCGTCTCCTCATCGATATTGTTGGAGATTGCGGAGACTAATTCATCGAATTCGATGGAGCCGTTGCCGTTGGCGTCGATGTCGGCAAGGAGGACGTGGATCTGGTCGCCGGAGGCCGGCTTGAGGCCGATGGAGCGAAGCAGGGCGGCAAGCTCTAAGACAGTGAGACTGCCGTCTGAGTCCATGTCGAACCGGTCGAATATGTCATGGAGTTGGCTCAGTCGGAATGTCGTCGTTGTTGTCCCGGCGGCCATGTAAATCCTCTGTTTCGGTTAGCGTTGTGTTGGCAGAACGACGATGGCGATGTCGTTCTGTCTCCTCCGACGTATTGATCGATTGATGATCGAAATTAATTTAATTAAACACAGAGGAGGAGAAGGAAGAATAATTTATCTGTAAATATATGTTTCTCTAGAGTAAGAGAGATTTGTGATTACAGTGGCCAGAGCGGTGGTGTTGGTGGCGGAGACACGGTGGGGGGAATTTGGAATGCGGTGAAGGTGGCGGTGGGCGGGAAAATATAGGGTGAAGGGAAAGTGCCGGTTGTTTTCTCTTTTGTGTTCGGTAAGACATTTTTTGGGTTTTTTGTTTTTTTGTATTATCAAAATTGTTGGTGTGGGTTTTATGTTTTTTGAGTTTTATTTGTTTTTGCTTACCATAACAAAATTTTAGGTAAATAATTACCCATTTGGATGGTTAGTTGACAAAAGGATTGTTGGGTTGGAAAGCTTGTTTTGCATTCATGTGTTACAATAGTGATGACATTAACGAAAAATTAGCAGGAAACGATGATGAAGAATGGGAGCTAGTTGAAGGGATGGAAAATGTTGTCAAACAGATGAAACATAAGAGTACATTTATTATTCTAACTAGATTTGGGTCCGACCCGTTTGTCGGATACTTTTCATTAATGCAGAACAACAGTAACAATATTTAATGATTTGGAATTTATTTGGTATAGGAAAGGAGTCCAAATTATCTAACTATTGGAAAGTCAAAAACTCATATTGAAAATATAATTTTCATTTAGTAGAGTTAATCTTATCCAAGTCATGAACATTATCTTTCTCTATATCATTGAAATTTATATATTCAACATCAATAGTCTTTTCCTTTTTTCTCAAATTATTATTATCTCCGTTACCAAATACACTTAAAGCTAAGAACAAATGAAATATTTGCAATTGTCTGCATAACTCGAACCTGGAAGCTTAACTTATAAACTGACAGCAATGATGTAAAATATTTTGTCGAAAACTATATGGATTGTTGGTACAAAGCTCTTTTCTCGAATGTTTGTGAATCTCTCACACGAGCCCTGGACACCCTGATCCAGGCTCATCAGCAGATTGGCACTCTGCTCGAGGTCGGCGGTGAAATCCCCAACGAACAAGTAAATGCTTTTGTTGGAGCGAAGGCTGTTGTGCATGGGTGTATGGTCACAATGAAAGACAACCTTATTAATGCCATTAAAAGCAGCACACTGGTTCCCCCGAGTCCTTGGCTATTCTCAATGAGATGATTGAAATGCTTAGTTCCGAAAACTGGGAGATGGTCCAATGCGGCGATGATGATGATGATGATGGCAGGGATGATGATGGTTATCCTCCGATCCTAAGGAACATATCACAGGAAGAACAAGGAGTTGAGCAAGGTCGCTGCTGATGGTGTCTATGCTAAGGTAAGTTGGGTAGAGCATTTTGGATCGAGAGTTTGGATAGGGTTTAAAGGATGATGCTTTCCTATGGTTGTTGGATTATAGCTATGCTACATCTTATTACTTTGGGTTGAGATGTGTGGCAACTGTTGTAGTTGGTAGGTTTGATTGAGCAGGATATGCCTTTTGCCCCCTCCTTCCCCTATTACCGTTGGATGGTTGGTGCTTATATCCACAATACTAATTTTCCCTCCATTCTTCCTATTTCATTTGCATTTTCACCAAGACCATTGATCACGAATGTATAACTTCAGTCCTGTACCAAAATGTCATCTCCCGCCGCTTTCTTTCTGGAGGGTTTTTCCACCCTTTCATCTTTGGTTTGAGTTGACCATTGGCAGAGAGAGACCAATTTTCTTCACTCTTCTACCACACCTTTCTTAAAAATATTCTAGCAGTGGAATTCACTACTCTCCCTCGGGCTATTCGATCTTCTCAGCTGTGACATTACACCAGTTGCCAGTGTGCTAGATGTGGTGTGTCGTGGTGAGTTCATGAGCTCGATGATTAGTTAGGGATGGCAACAAAAACCATTCAATTCTAGTTGTTGGTCTCCTGGCTCTTTCAGTGGCCTGAAATCAGATGGTTCCCATTTGCTAACCTGCTACGCTAGGGCCCATGCTCAGCAGCAGAAATGTATTCAATTCATATGGGGTTCTTTTTATGGTGCGGATGATTGTAACTGCAAAGCATTTTGCTTTCTTGCCGGTGGTAGCTCCCACCCAAACCACCAAGTTCATGTGAGGAGGCTTCTAGTGAAACTGAGGATTGCCAACAAGAAGCTATTGTTGTTGTTTCTAGTTCAGGTTGCGGAGCTATAGTTATTGTGGAACATTTTGATTTTTCCTCTACCAAATGCGAGGAATCTGGGTTTGTTCGGACTTCAAGGGGTAGAAGAAACGAGTTATAAAGTACCATTCATTTTACCACTTCTTACTTCATATTATTCATTGCAACTTTGCATGTAGCTTACTTTGACCAGGAATGAAGCAAATCATAATCAGCTCAGAGACAACAGAACATAAATCTCCGGAGAAAATGATAGAGAAAGTGGTTGTTGCTTTGGTATCAATTGTGTAAAAGGATGTGATTGACTCTGCATATTACGGTTTTATTTAATTAAAAACAGGAAAAATGATACTGGCAATTGGAGATAGAGAAATCGATGTTGGAATGCTGCAAGAAGCAGATATTGGTGTTGGTATCAGTGGATATGAGGCAAAGCAAGTGAATGCTTAAGTAGAGGTCTTCAAGTACGTTCTGTTCCACTTGATTTTGGTTGCTCATGATTTCTTCCTCTATTTGGAAACCTCAAAATTCAGGCAGTCATGTCAAGTGATGTTGCAATAGCACAATCCCGATTCTTGGAAGGTTGCTCCTTGTTCATGTTCATTGGTGTTACAAAAGGATCTCATCAATGGTAAATTTAATTTCACAATTATGGCACGTACATTCTTCAAAAATTTACCTTTTTATCTTTGTACTATGGTAAAGTATCTTGGGAAATTCCTTTGCCATTCATGACGTATGAACTACATGCCTGATCATGTCAGATTAATGAAACTACTTTCTATGGAAATTTGGCAGACATGCTACTTCATCTACAAGAATATTTGCATTTGGCTTCACTCTGTTCTTCTATGAAGCATATGCATCATTCTCAGGTGAACCGCCTTCTAGTAACATTTGCTTCTGTTTCTCTGCAATCCATAGGCACTTCTTCCCAGTGTATCACCTTGCTCGTGTGCGATGGACAATGAGTCGACGTGGACCCAATTGGCGACACGAATATCGTTATCCCGCACCACCAGTTTGAGTCAAAATCAGGCAGCTTGAAGGACATTCGTGAGGCCATTTTATGAGGAAGTGTACATATACTAACTCTTCTGTCTAGGCTCTCGACATGATGGAGCAAAAAGTTACTTTTTGTAAATTTATGAGAAAAATTGACAAACTAATTAATTACTTCGAATCAAATGGTATCCTTTTTTAATTTTCATTTATCTCAATCAAGCACACATCTGATCACATTAAATCCTAAGTTACACATCTACAGAACAATCAATCAATCAAGGATCAGCTGTAGCCATCCCTAAAGACTCCATGGTGGACCTGGCCATGACGGTGGAGAATTCGGTAAAGCTGATAACTCCATCGCCGTCGGTATCGGCTTCCTTCATCATCTGTGTGAGCTCCTTGTACGTCAAGGGCTGCCCCATTTTGGCCATGGCGCCGGCGAGCTCGGCCGACGTGATGACGCCATTGCCGTCGCGGTCGAACAATCGGAAGACCTCGAGTATGTGGTCCTGGTTCCCCAGCGTCTCCTCGTCGATATTGTTGGAGATTGCGGAGACTAATTCATCGAATTCGATGGAGCCGTTGCCGTTGGCGTCGATGTCGGCAAGGAGGACGTGGATCTGGTCGCCGGAGGCCGGCTTGAGGCCGATGGAGCGGAGCAGGGCGGCGAGCTCTAAGACAGTGAGACTGCCGTCTGAGTCCATGTCGAAACGGTCGAATATGTCGTGGAGTTGGCTCAGTCGGAATGTCGTCGTTGTTGTCCCGGCGGCCATGTAAATCCTCTGTTTCGGTTAGCGTTGTGTTGGCAGAACGACGATGGCGACGTCGTTCTGTCTCCGCCGACGTATTGATCGATTGATGATCGAAATTAATTTAATTAAACACAGAGGAGGAGAAGGAAGAATAATTGATCTGCAAATATATGTTTCTCTAAGAGTAAGAGAGATTTGTGATTACAGTGGCCAGAGCGGTGGTGTTGGTGGCGGAGACACGGTGGGGGGAATTTGGAATGCGGTGAAGGTGGCGGTGGGCGGGAAAATATAGGGTGAAGGGAAAGCGCCGGTTGTTTTCTCTTTTGTGTTCGGTAAGACATTTTTTGGGTTTTTTGTTTTTTTGTATTATCAAAATTGTTGGTGTGGGTTTTATTTTTTTTTAGTTTTATTTGTTTTTGCTTACCATAACAAAATTTTAGGTAAATAATTACCCATATGGATTGTTAGTTGACAAAAGGATTGTTGGGTTGCAAAGCTTGTTTTGCATTCATGTGTTACAATAGTGATGATATTAACAAAAAATGAGCAGGAAACGATGATGAAGAATGGGAGCTAGTTGAAGGGATGGAAAATGTTGTCAAACAGATGAAACATAAGAGTACATTTATTATTCTAACTAGATTTGGGTCCGATCCGTTGGTCGGATACTTTTCATTAATGTAGAACAACAATAACAATATTTAATGAATTGGAATTTATTTGGTGTAGGAAATGAGTCCAAATTATCTAACTATTGGAAAGTCAAAAACTCATATTGAAAATATAATTTTCATTTAGTAGAGTAAATCTTATCCAAGTCATGAACATTATCTTTTTCTATATCATTGAAATTTATATATTCAACATCAATAGTCTCTTCCTTTTTTCTCAAATTATTATTATCTGCGTTACCAAATACACTTAAAACTAAGAACAAATGAAATATTTGCAATTGTCTGTATAACTCAAACCTGGAAGCTTAACTTATAAACTGACACCAAATACAGAAAGCTTGAGATTCTTGCTTTAATTAGAGTGGCTAAAGCAAGTTGTTGGATAATAATTTGTTTTTGATACTCCGAATTTATAATACACATAAAAAACACTAATGCAAATGGCATGAAACTTGGTAAGCTCGATTTGAGGATAGCTAGTTGTTGAATACTATCACATCTTGTCTTAAGAAGGTTATGAATTGAAATCTGAGTCTCACTTCTTATTTTGGCAACTTCGCATTGGATGAACTATACATTGACCTTAAATATTATAGAAAAACTAAGCACTTTGAATCTTAATGAGTGGTTAAAGACCCAAATATTTGGGATTGGAGGAGGCAACAACAACTCTAGGAATAACATCTTTCAATATCATTACCGATAATCAACAGCCACTTCAAAAAGACACCCACACACCACTTGTAGGGGTAATGTAAGCAAAATTCAACATAACTCCTATATACTTAATCACCTATAAAAAAATTGTTTTTAAATTACACAACAGTTGGCACATCAACAGTGAATACGTTGACTATTAACAGTCAAAGTTAACAGAAATATAGTTTAACCTGGAATTATAATATTGAATACTTAACGAACAAGGGTTTGGTCTAGTGGTAATACCATTAGCTTTCGATATGGAGATCTTAGGTTCGACCGTATGTAGTACCTAAACCACAGAAAAGTAAACTTATATAACACTTATAATAAAAGTGACATTTTTTAAAGTTGGGGTGTTCTAGACTTCTAGTTGAATTAGCCCAGATTCTTACAAAGTTAATACATCCGTTGAAGAAAAAAATTAACTAAGAATCTTCAACAAAGTTTTATTTAACTTATTATACAAAAATAAATCCAAGGGGTATATCGATGGTGGATAAAATGGTCGATCTCATTCACAAAATGATCAACCGAATGATACACTTATAACGAGACTCAACCATTACAAATGAAAAGAACTGTCGAGCTAATGATGAAAAAGTTCAGAAATAAACCAAGAGACTGCACTAAGGAGATGTCGATCGGTTAGAGCTAAAGATATCTCCATGCCTCAATCCAACGTCCTGCAGAGTGTTCCGAAGACAATGAATACTGTGATTGCACTTGAAAGGTTAACCGAACGTCCGACTTGGTCGACATGTTGATCTACACATATGCACCAAAAACTAGCTTTGATGTTCCGACTTCTTTTCTTAATTTCAAAAGTCACAAGAATTTGTTTACATTATTTTTCGAGTGACAAACTAATGACTTAGATTATTATTTATAGAGGTTTATATTTCTATTAACTCGAATCAAGTTGTAGCAACGTTCTTGTTTAGTATCAAAATGTTTTTAGTGGTGGAATCATGTTCCAACAACGATAAAATAATGGCTAATCGTCCTACCATCATTTACCTTTGTAATTGTACAGTTATGACGTTCGATCGCTTTGTCCAAGCCATCGTAACTTACTAGTCACCATAGAGAAGTCCTGCATTCAAATATTTCAGTCAAGCAAACGTTAACTAAAACTATCAATTTATGACATTAATTAGATTCCATTATTATTTTCTTATTGTCCCTCCTTCTCAATCCCAAATAAGAGATGAAGAAATATTCTCGACATGGTTACCGGCTTACCGCCTAAACCCGATATGATTAAATACAACAATACTCGAACTAAAACAAGTACTCTGTGGTCTATAAATCCGCACCCGAATATTATGGATAAGGGGGCGAAATGTTTATTTCTAGTATCCAACCCGAACCATCATGATCATAGATGCAATGTAATTTTCCTACAAATTATCATCCACTCTCTCAAAATATTCGACATTCGTAATACATATATTACATCCCAATTAATTCTTGTTATTTTTTTATAAATCTTCTTCAGATTGTTGACTTATAATCATAACCTTTTTACTTATATGATGTAAATATTCTCTTAAATAGTAACACATTCGATATAATTAAAAAAATATATGTGGATATCAAGTTTGTTAAACCCCTATCGGACCTCCAGTTGACCTAATTCGGGCTTCAAAATGGCCTCTATAAAGCCCTCCAGTCTGAACTCTAAAGAGGGACAAGAATAGAGGGGGAAGAGAGGAAGAGAAGCGAAGGAAGGGAGATGGTGGGTAGGTGGGTTATATAGGTTAGATAGATTTATTTTTTGGAAAATAAATTTCATTTCAGTCATTAAATCTTTAATTACTATCTTATTTGTATATATATTTAGAAAACGTCTAAAACGGCTAAAAATGGCTGGACCCTGATCAGACCATTAAATCTCAAACCCCTTACTTTACCGACTTAATGACTTAAATCGGTTTGACAACCTTGGTGGATATCAATGGATAGACGAAACTCAAACGGATATGAGTATAATTTTGATTTGCCACCCGAATATTGTACATGTATAGATATAAATAGAACTCCAATTAATTAGAATATGATAACAAATATGCACTATCCGAACAAACTCGTCTATATTTCAAAACTAGATAATAAAAAGAGCGAAGGAAATGAGAAAGGTCAAAGGAATTTAATGGTTTATCGAAAAAAATGTATAATAATAAAAATAACCAAAGATTCGGATTCCCCTTGTGCTAGGGGTGGGCAAACGGTTCGGTAAATCCGAACCGAACCGAAACTGAATTAAACCGAACCGAAACCGAAATAATGCTATTCGATTCGAATTTCGGAAAGAAAACATGGATATTTCGGAAACCATGGTTCTTTCAACCGAACCGAAATTCCGAAATTCCGACCGAAAAACCGAAATACCATAATTGCAACCTCCAAATGGTGGATTTTTATGTTTGTAGTTGTTTTTATACTTAAATATTTAAAATATTTTATGACTTATGTGTTGAAATGTTTGATTTTATCATTTATGATGCATATAATTGCATATTTATTGTTTATATTAGGGGTGAAAATAATTTAAAAGTGAGAAGATACAAGTAGCCTCATAAATTCGGTTTTGTGTCAAAAACCGAACCGAACCGAATTATAATTCGGTTTAAACTGACCGAACCGAATTATAATTCGGTTCGAATTTGGTTTGAGGTTTGGGAGAATTCGGGGGACCCGATATTCATAATTTCGGTTCGGTCGAAACCGAACCGACCGAATGCCCACCCCTACGGGCTGATCGTGTGGCTGTGGTTGATGCGGTGATGTCAGGGGCATTTTTGTCCGATTTTTTGAATTAATGACTTCCCCCTTTTGTCCGTTGCGAATCTTTCTGTGCGCGAGTTAGATTCGGTTTTTGGAGAGAGAAACTACGAGCAGGGGAGCAGCAGCTGAGAAACAAGGACGGCGATTCTCCATGATTGATCGACGGCGATAGAAACTGCGAGCAGCAGCTTCGAATCGAGCTTTCTGATTCTCCATAATTGATCGACGTTTGCGCGAGTTGGATTCGGTTTTTGTAGAGAGAAACTGCGAGCAGCCGCTGAGAAACAGGGGACGGCGAATCTTTTCTGATTCTCCATAATTGATCAACGACGAGGTTAGATATTAGTTTTTTTTATTCTTCCTGTTTAGCTAATCGAGTTTTCTGTTGATCTCTGGTTTCGTTGGAGGTTTTTCATTGGTGCTAGTCGAGCTTGTTCATGTTTAGCTAATCGAGCTTGTTCATGTGTTATGTTCTTTGTGTTTTGGTGTTTTTGCAGTATTCTGGTGAGATGAGTTACGTAAATTGTGGCGATGTTGTTCCAATTGATAGATCTGGTTCTTCAACCAGCGTTGTAGGATCTGGTTCTTCATCTAGTGCTGTTGGAACTGCTTTTTCATCTATCGATCTTGGATTTGATCATTCAGCTAACTCTGGTGAATCAGGAGGTAAGATATACAAATTTGTTTGTTTATTGAAGTTTGAATGTGTTAGATACCATATGGTACCATGGTGGTAATTACTGGTATACGATGAGAGGTGATACTATAGTGTTGTGTTGTGATGTTATTGTGCTCTGTATTTAAGTTTTACCATACCAGCGGCGGATCCAGGATATAAGAGAGCACTGGGCCGCATTTGAATAGAATATTAGATATTATTAACAAAAATATATAATAATATAGCTTTCATTACAATGCCAATTGTATAAGAAGGTCTTTTAATTTAGCAAATTCATCAATAATATAATCTCCATCCATACTGATAATATACTCTTTTTCAAAGAAAATGGCTAAGTAATCAGCAATAAATTCATTGCTCATTTTGTTGCACAAATCAATGTTCATGTTCCATTGCTGAAAATGTTCTCTCCATGGTAGTT